TATATATATATATATATATATATGCCTCTACGTGCATGTGAAGGCGTGAATCATAAGTTATTAGCACCAAACACAAGTCAATTTCTAAAGTTTATATAAGCTATGTCCACATACCTGTCAATCAAATACGGGTATCCAAGATCCACCCACCAATAGGGGTTAGACGATCCGACCCGGGTATGAACACAGGTGCCGGTGACCCCGTCTACCGCACGGCCGGCAGCGGCATCCGACCATTGGCTGCTTTGGTACGCTCGTTTCCCCAGGGCAAGATTACCTGTCCCAAGCGAGAGGATCATCTTCAGTAGTTAAAAATTTACATCCATAATATTTAATAAAACTTGACGTATTTACGTTCACTCATCGTACCTTTTGAAGACAAAAATTTGACAGGGAAATACGAAGTTATATGTGTACTTACGGTAGTCTCTACAGCCGGAGCAAGTGCAGTGAGCGTCGGTCTTTCCACACTGTTGAAGGTCAGAACAACAGGGCCTATCTCCGAATGGGTAACACTGCCCGGGATTTGCTGCTGGAGCTGGGAAGTCTTTTCCACAACGCGAATCTTTTCTCCAAGGAGCTGCGGTAAGAGGAAACCAAGTAAATGCCTAATAGTATACACCCATCTATTGCAGTCAATCATGTAATAGACAAATGCAATTGAATATGTGTGATTTAAACAACAATCATTGTATAGAAAGTTAATCTTTGGTATAAAAATCAAACTTGTACACAAGCATATGGTGAACTTACTCAGGCAAGTTGTGCCATCCGAGGCCACTTTATTACCGAATGGGCACACGGAGACGCATTGGACGCCATCGGCACTTGGTTTTCGACCGGCTGGGCATTTAGCGACGCACTGAACTTTATTATCCACTTTAATGGAAAAGTGCTTACACCGGCTGCAATCCGTATCGAGCTTCGATCCTGGAGAACTTGGAATACATCCTATTTTTGTAAAGAAAATATCTATCAATTCTTTGTATGTGTGTGTGTGTGTGTGTGTGTGTGTGTGTGTGTGTGTGTGTGTGTGCGTGTGTGTGTGAGTGTGCGTAATGTCACTGTGTATGTATGTGTGTGTCACGGTGAGTGTGTCTCTCTGTGTGTGTGTGTGTGTGTGTATGTTACTGTATGTTTGTGTCACGGTGACAGTGTGCGTTCGTGTGTGTGTGTGTGAGTGTGTGTGTGGTTGTGTGTGTGTGTGCGTTCGTGTGTGTGAGTGTGTGTGTGGTTGTGTGTGCGTTCGTGTGTGTGTGTTGTTTCTTCATACAAACAGACGGTGATGATGCTATACCCCTCCACCCAGTACACAAAACAGGAACTGTTATAAGAAAGGTTCAAATGATTACACAAGACATCTGTAAAAATCACCGTCACACTCGGGATGGCAGTCTTCTACACAGATTCCGTCCTTCAGTACAGTCCCCCCTGTACATTCCATTTCGCCTGTTGCCCCTCCCTCGATGACTCGGGCGTCCATGATCTCTACGGACTTTTCCCCGCTGCCAAATGAGTAGAAACGAATACCCAATGGTGGACTGAGATCATTGTAGACCATGTAGACCAGGCCTTTCTCCTGTAGGAAGAAAACGTAAAACAACTGTTAAACGATTGTGGAAAAAACATCTCAGTATACATTGTACCAGTACTATTACTACATCGGAAATATCCACACACAAACACACATGTACAGACACACACAAACACACACACAGACAGAGAGACAGAAACAGAGACAGATAGACGGATAGATAAATGATATAAGATGGATGGATGGATAGATAGATAGAGATATCACTTCCATATGTCACTTACGGAAGTGTCCGAGCCGACGCCGTATTTGATGTAGGTTCGCATGTTTTTTGCGTCTTCCTCCAGGCAAATGAAGTAAGGCTGGAACAATTTGGAGTCACCGAGACTTCGGGCACTCTTCGCTCCCTCGTACTTCACTAGCTTCATTCCCTGAGAAAGGTATGTTTCACAATTAACATGATCGAGGTTTTCTAAAATAAAGACAATTGACAAATACACTAAACCCTGTACCGATTCCAAACACGACCCGGAAAGCTTGACCTGGTTGAAGCTTAAACGTAGGAAGCTTGGAGGGAATAAATGAATAATGGTGTTACCTTGTAGAGAGCAACACCTTGAAAACTGATCTGGAGATGGTACCAGGTGGACACGTCCCTCGGAATGGCGGAGAAGACCACAAAAATGTCGCCTGCAGACGCCGCAACGAAGTAAAGGCACCTTCCTCCCTCCTCCGCAGGTTTGATCTGGTACGAGTTGGACCACTTCACATTACAGGGTGCCTCAACGATACTTGCTAAAGCACCACTGTTAGGAACAACAAACCAGCGTTACTTATCAGTACATAATTATACATCACATATCTTAGCCAGACAAAACTTGATTAGACTGTGTTCTTGTCATCAGTAAATCTAAGTGAAGATCATTTTGCGTTAAGTTGTTGCTTGGAGCGATTCGGGATTATAATATGTTGGACTCCAGGTTGACAAATCTACATACCCTTTTGCTTGGGCGTGCTCCAACGGGCTGACATATTCAGCTCTGGCAACAGTCAAGCCTACGTAGCTGCGACGCAACTCCCCCAAAGCCTGTAAAGACAATGTGATGGCAAATAAATTGCAGCAAAGCATTAGATTTCATTCATTCTTCTACATATTCTTATGTATATGTCAGTGTAGAGATTCCGGTTGAGATCGTGACCAGAGGTTTTTAAGGTAATATGTTAGGATTTACAGTCTCAAATTCGGATTCCTAACAACAGAATCACCCGATTCTGCTAGCTGCAGACTGCCTGACATGTACATTATTAGGTCATTAATTATTTCATTGTCCATTAGCCCCGACATCACGACATCACGAAAAACATGTTGAACCTTCTTCTCCTTTGCACTATCCAAATTAACGGTGCTGCGACCCATAGAGAGACTTACTGTAACACTCAAGGAGGGCAAGAGCCTTGCCTGATGGTCAGGGCAATAAACTACTTGAGCAGCGCATTTTGATTAGTCAATAACTAGGTGCTTTTAACTTTTCTACTTCTGGCAGATCTTCGGTGGCTAAAAGACACTTCTCTGGCCAATGGATACTCTAGCCAATGGATACGCCACCGTAAGGTCTGATTGAAGATTACATTAGGCAGTCATTATTTTACCATGCGTATAATATAAACAGCCAAAGGGCAGTGAGTACCTGCGTGGAAGCGGTTTGATCTTGTTGTGTGACCACAAACGTCCCGGTTGCTTCCTGATACGTCATCACAAAACCAAAGCAGGAAACCTGAGTGTGTACGATAACGTCGTTAAAACACATGTTCATGTGCGTCTTCCACCATTATTATATATGTAAATAACTTTATATGGAGCATTCTCAGACTCAGAGGTTGCATTACTTATTAGTAAAGCCAAAATCATACAAGCAATTCGTTGTACTGCCTTTATGTAAGCAGCGGAGGAGTTGAAGTTTCCATACTGACAAAGTATCCAGTTTATAGGATAACTTTGTTGCGCAACAGTTGTACAGGGTACAAAGTATGGCATCTACTAAGTACATATCAATTACATTTCATAAGGCTAACCTAACTAATACAAAAGTGGGTGGCTTGTATGCATTAGAGATGCATTCTATTTTGTAATATTGTTGTTTGGGAATGGAATGCAACTGGGGCGTACCTTTTTGTTGTTGACGTCACCACTTCCACCATTGTCACGGCTGTTGTACATGTGCATGTTATCCCCAGGGGCGTGGCAGTTCCACCTGTAAAAAGCGACATGTTGTCACAGCGTTGCTGTTGCTCCCATAACTATTCAATATTCAAATGTTTTAGCAAAATTATCACGTCAGCCTCAGATAATAGTTGTTTTATAACCTCAATTGACTAAGTCACTACCTTTGCCGTGAAAAAACCACGAAGGCTTCTTCGTTCCTCGAAATGTCGTAGTTGATGTTTTCAGGAAGATCAAAGATGATCTACAGTGGAAACAGGAAAAGAATGTTATTGATATAGAGATCTTTTTGCAATAACCCTACATGTATTAATTTAGCAAATGACATGTTTGGCAAAATCATTATCTTGGTATTCTGGATTTTACAGATGCAATTGATAAGGATGAATACATGTAGTTAACATTATATAAGCAGGCTGCTTTGACCAATTAGAAGTCTACAATCCTAATGGTTATACAGCTATAGTAATGTTATAAGCATGGGTTATTGAACAACGCTTCCATGGATTAATTAATAACCTCCCAATAATGCACACTTCTGAGGATTGTGGGATTGGCCATCGGATAATTCTTATGAAGTAAATTTGAATTACATACAGGATAATGATGTTAATGACCGGATCTTCCTTCGACCCATGACAATAAAAATAATCCACGCCACTTTACTCACGCCGTGTTTTATTTGTTGGTTTCAAAAAGTACTACGCCAGATAAAAACCGGCAATGGGTTATATGTATCTCTGAAGGTGGTCTATTTTATTCGCGTATGTAAGGTTAGCATCCGGTCAATAGTTATCAAATTTTTTGTCGGAAAATATATCGCCTACAATGGGAAAATCCCGATGCAACGTTCATCGAACAGCCCACAAAAACGTTCAAAAGCCTACCTTATAAGTGTCTCCGTTGATGAGTTCCAGCCATGTGGGGTAGGTAGTTCCAGAAAGACCTCCCTTCACCCCTAAGGCTTCAGATGTACATCCAGGTTTGCCACCCTCCAGACGGAAATCCGTGGTGGGCACTGGTCCCTATATATGAAACAACAACTGGGTTTATTGAACTGTCTTCACACAGGGTCAGTATTAAAAAAACACACACAACAAAGATCAACTCTGACCCTTTCCAACTAATGTTGGAGGCTGAACTTGCACAAATGTAGAGATCTCCCTCCCTCCCTCTGTCTCTCTCTGTCCCTTTCTCTCTCTCTCTCCCTCTCTCTCCCTCTCTCTTGCACATCATACATTGTTAGTTTGTTACAGATGCTAGTCGAGTCGTGTGACTTTAATTCAGTACTGGCATAACTGTCCTGGATACAGAGTGTATTTAAGGATTCTTAGATATTGATGAATTAGGACAAGAACAACTTTGCATAGTTATTCATGGACTAGGAGATTTACAAAGTTTGTTTGTCTTCGTTTATGGTATAATAATCATAAACAAGTCTCCTGGCTCATATGGCACACTTTGCTCCGTCCTATAGCAACTGTAAAAGAGTTCATAGATGAAATAACGTAATGTGACCGATACACATGCTTATGTAGGTCAAAGTTGGAACATATTTAAAACAAAATGCGGCATACCTCTTCCATGTAAACAGCAATTGCCCTTTCCAGCGCCAGTCGTTTCTTGTCCATTTCTTGTTCAAACTTATCTGCGGATGTGAAGTCACAATACCTGGACAGATTTAAAGGCATGGCCAATATTGCTAAAACCTGTTAGACATCAAAAGACGCTTAAAAGTCTCTAAAATATATGCTTATTCGGCATATTAACAGTAAATAAAATCAATTCAATGGAAATACGTGCTACTCACAAAATATATATATATAATTATCTATTATCATAAATTGAAGGTGAATCCAATCAGTGTAGCTCACAGCAACTAGCTTCATGCTTTCACTGTCTTCTAAAAATACCAGAGTTACCGTTTCTCTGTTAATGGTGTCATCTCTCCTTGACTGTTGTTCACCAGCTTGGAGACCTCATAATACTTCCTTCCTGTGCCTTCCTCGGTCTTGAGGCTGTGGGTTATACACGAACGCACTATTAGAAAAAATAGCAAAAAATTCTTTTGACTAATATAAGTAGTAGGCTATTCATAGTGGGCGTCAGAGTTTTTTCAGGACAATTTCTTAAAAGATCACTGTCTCCGTTATGAAGACAATGGATATAACAACGAAATTGTGGTTTAACCTACAAAGATGACAGCTGCTATCATGTTTGCCTCATCGCACAGACTCAGTACATCGGGCCATTGTTGACAATGCAGAGTAAATTGTCATATTGTCAATCAAGAGTACAATTGTAACTCACTTGTCACCGAAGCATCCGTCTGCAGCATCTTTGATGTCAAAAGGGAAGAGAAGTTTGTAGTTCAGGTCCAGCAGTTCTGACATGGTGCCCATGAACATCTCGATGGGTTTGGGGTAGGTGGGGATGGACTTCAGCCACTCGGTGAAGGTGTCCTTGAAGCCGGTTGAGTAGAAGTCAGCAACGATGGAGGCAACTTCCTGGTCGCCTCCTTCCACTGACACATGGGTGCCGGAAGACTTGGAAGACCGGCTGTTAGATAAAAGACGTTAATTTAACTAACAGGTAACAGGAGATCACCACCACCACCACCACCCCACACCCAAGTGATTGGGGACGTTTCATTTTTGTCTTCATGGAACGTTAGTTCCTATGCTCAACAATGATCAATGACATTTCTTTTCAACGAACAAAAGCAAGATCATATTTTAGTAACTGCTACTCACCAGAACTTAGAGGAAGACCAAATGTCCAGTCTAACTATTAGCCATTGATAGACTTCCAGCAATACTGAATTATTAACAAAGCAAACAGGCTGTCCTTAAACAAAATAAAAAAACGAGAGTGATCTAGAACCAGGTTAGGTCAACGACAAGAAAATTTACCACTGGTAGTGATAGGAAAGCCAGGTGATGTGTACAATACAATCAAGATATCACATATCACCTTACCCCCACAAGTGTATGAAAAGAAGAAACAAAATGGCTGCCATACGATGAACCAGTGGATGAGCCAACTCCGAAGTGACCTCCGGCGTTGAAGAAAAGAGAATTATAAGAAGCCTGGGCCTGGACGGAGAAGTCTTCGAGACTTTCAGTCTTGGAGATCTCTTGGGTCTTGAACAGCCGGAAGGAACCGCCGAACTTTGCTGACTTGATAAAATGAGTTCCATAGCGGATGATGAACTTTTCTGTAAACAAAAAGTAAGCAACAAATGAATGTTGTAGAGTACAGTCCTCATAATCGGGACTAACTGCATCAAGGGCAAATATCAGCACAGCATCAGATACCGTCTTTCTATTGTACAAGACATTCTGGATTTATTGTAAGAAATATTGGATGTATGACATGATACTTACGAAGCTGTGCCTTCCCAAAGATGAAATTTTTCGGAAGAGACAAGAAGTCCCTCAGGAAGGGCAGGCTCAGGGTATCCGGAGAGATTTCATCCAGGAAGATTTCATACCTAGAGGTGAAATGTTGCCAAGTGTCAAACGTTGTCATCAACCAAGGCTACCCTGTTACCAAGTATGAGTTAAGGAAGAAGACAGCCGTGCATTGTTGATCGTCAATAATGCACACTTGTGTTAGTGTTAATTTGACCTGGATATACAACAATACCATTGATGACCCACTTTTTTCTTGCAGTTTACGCGCCTGGCCAGTGACCCATAACCACCTATAAACACCTCGCTGCTCTCACTAGGTGATTATAGGCTAAAGGTCTGTCGCTACACAATCGTAAACGCCTTAGGAGGGCCACTAACTATTGATGAAAGAAGGATAAAAAGACTGAAATATAGAATAGATGTAGATGTCGAGGAGTGCTTCAAAATCATTACTTATTTACTCAGCACAAAATAAAAAGAAAATGTTATTGGTTGACATCAACAGGCCAAAACTGCAACAGTAGTGAGTAAGCACTCCTACCTTATTACGTTACACTGAATAAGGGACATAAACTTCTGTTTGCTGGATGATGACGACTTCCCATATGCTGCCTCAACGGCAGCCTGCACAAAAATGAGATTGAAGTTATTCAAGATAAGCAGTCACAGATTCATCTAAAATGTATTAATCGATTTTCAATGTCTTCAGTTTGAATTTAAAAAAGTTAATAAAATGAAATGAACCTGGAAGCCCCATCCAGAAAATGACATTCCAGCTTTTATCTGGAGGGAATGGCGATATGACTCTCTTGACTCAAAGACGTAGGAGGAGACCTCTGTGTCGAAGATGCCGTGAACATTCATGGTGTCCGGGACATCCTCATCGTGATACCTGAGGTGCAGTGAAAAGATTTCCATCAGAAAGAACATGACAGGTATTGTTGCAATGACAAAATACAGCCTTATAATGGTTATATAATATAAGCAGAACTTTACTGCACATTTGGTAATATATTGTACTTTCTGAATCTTCAAAGTAAAAGAAACACCAGTTGAAACATTGCCAAAAAAGTTCTAATATATATTTGTTACGTCTGTGCTTCAGACTTTTTCTGCACGTGTGTGTATGTGTCAATGCATTACATGTATATACATTATGCATATATCACTGAACATACAATAGAACATGAACACAAAACAATTCCCTAACACTTACGTAGCCAGGTTTTTACAATTCCGCTGCACGACTGTTTTCTTTCTGGACGCGCTGCTGTAGTCTCCGCGACCATCGAAGCCAACCCCGATGTAGCCACACCCCTCCATCATGTTCTGGGTGACAATATAACGTTAATCAACGGCAATACGGTCCACCTTTTGTTATAAGTCCCGCCTATCTGTGCACACACACATTCACTTCATCATCATTGCATCAGCACGGATAATAGCTGATGATGAGTTAAAGAGACCATGAAACATGAGGCATCAATGTGATGATAAAATATGTTTTGCCTCAGAAGCACATGGCAAGACCCGCTGTTAATTTGAATAGCTGCTCGGTAAGAAAATGTACAGTTCCGTATACGTAAGACATTAAAACATGATCTACGTTGAACCAGTGAAACACTTAAAGCTAGCGCTTACTTAATATGCATTTGTATTTTATAAGCATGTCTAAAAGTAATTTATAACTGATCATTGCCAGACATTTTACACATGAATATTGCTTTGTATAGTACTTGAGTAATTGTCCTTAGAATTTTTAATGATTGAACACACCAATTTTAACATTATATTATATCGTAACGATTTTAATTTTAAATGTGAAACAACTGAAGTTAGACTGACACTTCTGTAAAATCGCCTCACAATTCAGGCCGTTACGCTGGCAGGAGGCATTCATATAACAACTAAAGTTCTAATAAACCAGTCTACTACTACTGCTACTACTAGCGCTGTTGACTAGGTGCCGTAAACCTAGACTCGGCGCATGTGTACCCCGAACTGTTGTGGGAAGCAAAGGGTTAGCACCTGGTCAGGACACATAGGCAGGTACGGCAGGCAGACAAAAATAACTTAATGCATATTCATAAAGCTGTTTAACGAAAGCTAAAACAGATTTCACTTACGTAACATGCCGGGATGACGTCCCTGACGTTGTAGCACGGATCTCCTGGTTTGTATCCTGTCCCGAAACAGCCGTTCATCAAAGCAGAGCCAATCCCCATGGGGTAGCCGTACGCCATTGGTTGAGAGCTTTGATCGGGTTCGCTGTCCTCCCTGTAGGTGTAGGAATTGTAATTAAGCTGTAACAATACCAGTGCTTAGAGCTCCTAAGACATAAGAATTTGCAATGTAATGATATAGTTGGGTTTTAGAAATTCAATGTACAGATTGCGTATGATCACGGAGCTTTTTTCCCCACATCATTATTGCTGTCCATTGCACAAATGGGATAGGGTTACATCTGATATGTCACCCTGTCATTTTCTTATCCATCTATCTATCTATCTATCTATCTATCTATCTATCTATCTATCTATCTATCTATCTATCTATCTATCTATATATATATATATCCTAGAGAGAAAAAGAAAGAGAGAGAATAGGAATACATACTTGATAAACCACACTCACATATTTGATCAACCAAATACATACCCGGGGTCCTCCTCAAGGTCTACTTTCATGTGCATTCCTGGTGGAGCGAACATGTCATCTTCCACCATACCCTTGTCTGGAACAAAGTCCACCTCAGCCTGCAAAACAACCACTTCTATCAACACGTGCAGATGTCAAATGTACAGCCGGCGGATACAGTTGTACTTTTATCTATTTGGACCTTAATTTGGACATAACAGTTAAACCTTATTATATAGAATAACCACTTCTAGCTATCTGTCAATGCATAAACCATCAAGAATAAACAAGTAAATAAACATTATTTTTTTAAATTATAGAAAAAAAACAATAAAAAAAGAATAGCATATCTGGCTTGGTTGGTACAGTACCTTTATCTCATGCTCTCCGCCGCCGCCATCATTATCATTATCGTCTCCATCTTTATCTTTCTTGTCATGAGAATCTGTAAGAAGATGCGATATGAAAGACATCATGCGGTGTGTCTCACCAGCTAGCTTTACTAGAAAGGTGTATGGGAACAAATTGAATGAGGAGTTTTACCGATTGCCAAGGCAATAAACAGTGCAGTTGCTCTTTGAGAAAACACGCGATGTTTTATGGACATCTGATCCAAAGCTTTATAGATATCTACAATTACTCCTTACATTTTCCAAGTATCTTATCGACAGTTTCCTCAGCCACCTCCTTTTCCACTTCTGCCGTGATTTCAGCCTCATGCTTCACACTTTGGGCCATGATGTCCGGTGCCATGTTCTTCATACTGCCCAGTTTCTGGATCGTGTCTGTCAGTTCGTCTGCGTCGAAGCTGCTTCCTGATGCTGTAGAAGGTAAAACAAAATGGAGATACATTCTTAGGAACGGCGTCTCTAAAGCCAAAGTCACGCTGGGACCGTCGACACTAGGCCGAGTCTGTTAATCGCCAGAAAGTTTGCTAGAAAAGAGATGAGCCTGGCGTGAGAAGGTGCAGACTAGAGCTGTACTAACTAAACAAATTTTAGGTACAGGTACAGGTACACAGGTTTAGGTACAGATCCGGACCTGAACCTGTACTCGTACCTGAACAATTCGACCAATTAACATGCTCTTCTGAACTCCTTCAATAACAAGAAAAACATTAATAAACTTGACAGTTAAGGTTTTTCTTTATGGAGAATGCTCAGACAAATTATGGGCAAAACTAAGATGTTTTTGTTTTTATGAACACACTGTCCTAACACTGGGACCCATGGGGGACCAGCTATTTACACATTAGAGGTCACAAATTGGTGTGACTTTTTTTAGGTACGGTACCGGTACTGAGGAATTAGGTATTTTGGACCTGTACCTAATCAATTTTTCCGGTACAGTATCGGTACTGTGTATTGGTACACAACCCTAATGCAGATATTCGCTGGTTTCTGGGTTAGCAGAACATATGTGACCAGCTGACTTACAGAAAAGGTTCCCTGCAAGATTCGCAATGGCTGGAAGGAACCGCTTGTCCTTGGCGTCAGTAGGCGCGTCTTTAGCAGCTGCCTCTCGGAGAGCGTCTTGAACCAGTGCATGGTTTTTCACGTAGGCAGGGGCGTCCTCGGCAGCTGCTGCTCGGAGAGCACCGCGGAGATCATCCGACAATGCTGGGGGACAGAAGCGTACTCGGATGTGAAGAAACATCATAACCCAGATCAAAACCAAGTCATTCACTCTCTTTAACACAAAAATATGGCGGTATTACAAATCGGTATAAATTCTGCTGTTGTCATAAGTCCTCATAAGGGTTTGAAAAACATCCTGTGGATTTTTGAATGTGCCAACATATCCATCAATGTGATAAATACCGCTGTGTCCGACAAATAAATCGTGTTTGATATATTGTTTTACGTATATCATGAACCATTAATATTTCTTGGTGTTACCTCCTTTTGCTAACGAAATGATGACGCCATGTACTTACATAGGGACCTTTTGATGATACGGTGCCCAGGTTTTGACGATACGATGTCCGGATCCTCCCTTGACACAGTCCCGATGAGATACGCAGAGACAACTAAGATCAGCACCAAGGGAAGACATACCCCAACTGCCTTCTTGTTCATGTTGAAGAACTATAGAGATGATAAGGGTAGTATGCCATGACAAAACATACGCCATGCATATCCTTACACAAAAGATACTAAATATGAAACTGTAAATATTTGTCATTGATTCTATTTTGAGATCTGTTTGAGAATGTCAGTTTTTGTCAGAATTCTAGTTGTCACATACCATGCCAGACGATAGGGGTAAGACATGTCACGTACTACATAAAATAATGAACACAGAGCAGTTTAGTTGATCGTCTACAAGTAACCATACGACGCTGAATTTGAAAGACAACTGACAAACATTATGCAACTTTGCGTGACTCCAATGAAAAGATTTTTTTATTATTTACTTCAGATTCACCTCAAAACAAGGCTCGTGAGAGCCACTTACATGTTTTGGGTTACAGTGATGACTGCGTGGTCAGATATTTGTTCACCCTTGATTTAAACCGTTGGAGGTTATAATTAGCGGTGAAACATTCACGGGGAAGCTTGTTCCACAGTGAAGTGGTTCTGGGGAAGAAACTGTCAGCATGAAATGTTCTCTTGACTGATGGACTATTGAGGAAGAAAGGGTGATTTTCTGCTGTTAAGGTGGCTAAGCGTGTTCTTGCAGAGAATGTTCTGAGTGGGGGTACAAGGGAGTGAAGTTCAGCAGAGCATCTGCCGTGGAAATATCAATATAGTAACGCCAGGCTTGCAACATCACGCCGGTGTGAAAGCGGTTGTAAGGTGGCGTGCAGGTCTCTCCCAACGAGATTTCGCAAACGATTTTGGACCCTATCTAAACAGCTCAACGAGCTCTGTGCAGCTCCAGCCCAGATGTGACAACAGTATTCCATTTTTGGACGGATTTGGCTCTTATACAGATACAAGATGGCAGAAGGAGTAAGCTACTTTCTGGTGCGGTACAATGACCCTACCATCTTACCAGCCTCCTTGGCAACAGACTGGGAGCTAAAGTGAAATATTTCAGACATATGAATCGTGAAACCATGTAGGTGATTCAGAACTGTTCAAATATCTAACAATGAAGCTGAAAGATTTTCTTCATTGACAGCGTTGAGCACTGTAGTCAATGCTACGATTTAACGAATGGTAAGCAAACATGGCAAGGACACAATATAAAGATGCCGAAATAGCGGGGTTTGGCGTCCAACGTAATGCCCATACTGTAATACGAGTAATGAAAACTCAAGCATGCGACAAATGAATTTTCGTCCACTTGGTTTCTGTACCATGGGGGAATCAGTGACGGACCAACCACAATGAAACAATAAAAGACCATGGAGAAATAAGCGATGAGAGAGGTGGTGCTGTATTTACCAAAAACGGAGGTGACTTCGTGTCCTGACAAAGAAACTGTCATAATCAAGCCATATCCTAATATGTTTCTTTTATGGGCCCTGGATTTTCCTACTCCCGTTGGTAGGTCCTTGTTGTGTTAACGTACGATGGGGACAGCATGCAGTCTCCTTACTCAAACTCCAAAGCAGTTTAAACAATGGCTATATATATATACCAAGAATACAGATGAGGATTCCAGTTGTCACATAACAGACGATAGAGGTAAGGAATGTCCGAGTGTACTGCATGAATAAATTTATTAGGGACCAAATAGTATAGTAGTTTGTTACTTACTAGTATCCACGGCGTTAAATTTGATAGAAAACTGGAAAAAATAATGCAACAATATGTGACCGCAGTGAAAAGATTTGGGAGCTAATGTAAAGTTTGTCAGACATGTGAATCGTGAAATCATGTAGGTGATGCGTAATTGCACAAATATCTAAACAATGAAGCTGAATAATGTATTGATGAAAAGGGGGCGTTGCTGTGGACAGTGCTACGTTTTACCAAATGGGTCAAGGACACATATAATGTGCCGAAGTTGCGTAGTCTGGCGTCCAGGCTGGCTGTTCGGTTCACAAAAAGATCATATATTCACCCTTTGTATTGCGTAGGTTCACATTATCGCAAAGATCATCACTTGCAGAAAGTAACTAAGACATATTAGGAGCAAAATTTTCCCGCATGGTCTCTGGGGGAATTTGGGACGAACCGATCAAAAGGGGTCGGTAGAGAGGCATTGAGCAAAAAGAGAGGAGAGAGGTAGTGTTATATTTACCAAAAACAAGATCAATCCGTGTCCTGACCGAAACAATACAGTGAATCGTGAAACCATGTAGGTGATTCAGAACTGTTCAAATATCTAAACAATGAAGCTGAAAGATTTTCTTCACTGACAGCGTTGCTGTAGTCAATGCTACGATTTAACGAATGGTAAGCAAACATGGCAAAGACACAATATAAAGATGCCGAAAGAGCGGGGTTTGGCGTCCAACGTAATGCCCATACTGTAAAACGAGTAATGAAAACTCAAGCATGCGACAAATGAATTTTCGTCCACTTGGTTTCTGTACCATGGGGGAATCAGTGACGGACCAACCACAATGAAACAATAAAAGACCATGGAGAAATAAGCGATGAGAGAGGTGGTGCTGTATTTACCAAAAACGAAGGTGAGTTCGTGTCCTGACAAAGAAACTGTCATAATCAAGCCATATCCTAATAGCTTTGCTGCAAATATTTAATACACGGACTGATGAAGTTTAAATTAAAAAAAAAATCAATCCAGGTGCCGGACCAACAACCATCTGTATCCGGTACGGTCCGGCACCTGGATTGATTTTAATTTACACTTAGAGTCAGTCCGTGTCAATGTATCAAATATTTGCAGCAAAGCTATTAACGGTGCACACACGAATTCTTCCGTGACAAGTCAACTCTTGCGCAAGAGTATCCCTGTACTTATCTTTTCCATGGCAACACCTGTTCATGGAGCTTGAATTAACAACAAAAACCGCTTCGAGAGGATGCGATCATTGTGACGTCAGATTCATTATGTGCACTGAATGGTATACATGGCGGGAGACGCAAAATCAGCCTTCGGGGGCGGTAACTTTCAACCACCTGTTACTCAAGAAGGAAATACCGCCCATAACCCAAACTTGGCATAATGCATAGAGGAAAACATCTTCTACCCAAAGACAATATTAATTAATATTTTGATTAATTAACGGTGCACACACCAGTTCTTCCGCGTCAGGGGTCCAATGTAGTGCCCGGAAAAAAAGTGACGAAGGGGTTCCGATGGTTCATGTTTGAGTTTACATTTCTCATAATCTGCTGCAAAATGGGATTAACTACTAACATGGCTGGAAAGTGTAAGAAGTGGCGTGTTTTGGGTGAAAATTGATTTCGGGCCCGAAGCTTACTTCCGGGTGTCCTTCAGCCCTGAGCACGGTGCTTCGGTTTGACCTAGATATGCGTTGTATGCGTTCTGGGGGTGCTGTCGCTATGCCTCGCGCGACGGGCTATTGTGATAATCTCAGTGTTAGGATTTTCTTTATACTTTTCTTAATAATACATAAGGGTTTTCTCTTTTCGACCATATAAGTCATATCGGTGGCTAAATTCTGGGTGATGGGTTTAAACCCACGTAAAAATGGCCAATTTTTGGCATCATTTTTCATCGAAAAATTCTTTTTCCCCCTAAATTTACTAAAATGTGAGAGGTGAAAGAAATTGAAATTCTATTGTTCTCGTAGCTAGAGGGATATCCTTCATTTACAAACAGAGTGTTTTGGCTTAAGAGGTATTTCCTGAAAGAGACGGTCGCTAGAGTTGAGGGTATGCAGAATCAAATTGAGACCCAAAATAAACTGGGGTGTGCCCCCTTAGGCCATGGCTAGAGTCCATTCAAAAGTGCAAATAACAATAACAATAAAAACACCCCTGTTCATAATGCAAATTCTGAGAACTGTAAGAAAAACTAAAATTTCAGAGGTGTGGAAAACACACATCACCATCAGTATGTGGATAATACGAACTACAAACACTGTTTATTTTATTCGTCTATTACAATGTGTTTTCTGGAGTAGAGAATGGGACAGGACACCCACTGTGCATAGACATAGAGGGCAAAGGGACATGTTGGTGATAACGCTAACAGTAGTACAATTTATGTCTTCTAACCTTTTGACATACTAGTTGAACAACTCCAAACGCGACAGTACGTACAGACGCGATCAGCACATATGTCGACAGTCCCCTGTCTTTACATGTCCTGGGACTTCTACAGAACTTTTGTCCTGGCTTTCGTATTTCTGTCGAGTTTTGCTACCAGATATAAACTTACATTGAATTTATTTCGATCGAACGTTTTCAACTCTGTTCCTGTGAATTTCCGCAGTTATTTGTATCAGTGTCTGGGCGGCCCTAATAATGGTTACGACTTTTGTGGCACAGGGTTTGGACGCGTCTGACCGCAGTAACGCAAAAACGACATCAGAAAAGTCCGACGGGAACTACAGCGGCAATCTGCAGGACTACGTCTGTTTCTTTTATGGGCCCTGGATTTTCCTACTCCCGTTGGTAGGTCCTTGTTGTGTTAACGTACGATGAGGACAGCATGCAGTCTCCTTACTCAACTCCAAAGCAGTTTGAACAATGGCTATACCAAGAACACAGATGAGGATTCCAGTTGTCACATAACAGAGGATAGAGGTAAGAAATCCCCGAGTGTACTGCATGAATGAATTTATTAGGGACCAAATAGTATAGTAGTTTGCTACTTACTAGTATCCACGGCGTTAAATTTGATAGAAAACTGGAAAAAAATAATGCAACAATATGTGACCGCAGTGAAAAGATTTGGGAGCTAATGTAAAATTTGTCAGACATGTTAATCGTGAAATCATGTAGGTGATGCGTAATTGCACAAATATCTAAACAATGGAGCTGAATAATGCATTGATGAAAAGGGGGCGTTGCTGTGGACAGTGCTACGTTTTACCAAATGGGTCAAGGACACATATAATGTGCCGAAGTTGCGTAGTCTGACGTCCAGGCTGGCTGTTCAGTTCACAAAAAGATCATATATTCACCCTGTGTAATTGTATTGCGTAGGTTCACAATATCGCATAGATCATCACTTGCAGAAAGCAACT